AGAAGCAAGAAAGCAGGGCTGCTGAGAAACTAGGGCTGCTAAAAAAAATAGGGCTGCTGATAGGGTCATACAATGTTCTTTTGTTCTTACTTCTTAGTTACTTAGTTGCTCACCCCTCCTTATCTTAGTGGCTCAGCAAACGAACCATGTCCTTCTGACTTGTCTGGGCTTGTCTAAGCAGGTCTCCTGCTACAGTGCAGTCTCCTTGATCACCAGAACTTGATGCTCCTGGGATGCCCTTTATGCTGGTTATGTTGATTTTCCAGATGTAATTGGGTTTTGACTGTTGTTAGGTCTTCCTTTGGTGGGTCCTTCCCTCCAGCTGGTTGACTGAGGGTCACCCTGCTTACCAGATCTTGTGTGCTGTTGTGCAGGTGAAGATAGGTTGTGCTGAAGCTGATTCTTCTGTCTGTCCAAGGTTATAAGGTTCCTCTCTTGCTATTGCTCAGTTGTTTGTTCTGGGTGGTTTCTTCCAATTGACTCATAATTCCAGATTGTCTCTGGGGGGAGCTTAGTGTGATTTCCCTTTACTCCTCCACCATCTCCCTCCCTCTATGTGGGCTGTCTTGTTATAATTATGTTTTGCTTGTTGGTGGCTCATTTGTTGGTGGGTTATCCCCTCTAGCTGGCTGACTGAGATTCACAAAACTACCATGTCTTCTACACCATTGTACAAGTGCTTCCAGAATAAATCAAAACAACCCAGGACGGAAAACCCACACCAGCAAAAATACCCCACACCACAATGGTAATATCAACAAAAAAGAGAATAAGGATATCATATGAAAGAAAAAATAATATGAGGTGACTAATTAAAAGACAATGATTTTGAAGGAGTAGAGGTAGGAGAAATAATAAGAGTAGGAAATAGAAGCAAAGCTAAGAAAGGGACAAAATAAAATTTAAAACAAAAACAAGAAAGGTAAGGTTGGAGGTGAAATGCAGTAGGACAGGAGAACAGTAAAATATGAGATTCGAAGTAAAAATGTAGTGAACATCTGGGAATAAAATTGAATAAATGCAACAACAACTACACAGCCATACTATCAATGACAAATGAGTAGAGATTAATAAAGTGGAAAGAGAATAAGGATATTGTAAGATAGGAGAAAAGTGTGAGATGACTAATGGAAAGAAAAGTTGTTTTGAGAGGATGGAGGGAAGAGAAGTAGTAAGAGAAACAGACACACAGCATAGAAAGGGAAAAAATTGAATTTGAAATGAAAATAAGAAAGGAAAGGAAGAAGTCAAAATAAAGGTAGAGACAGAAAGAGTAAAATATGAGATTTGGAATAAAACTAAACTAAAAAATAGTGAAATAATTTAAAAACTGAAGAAAATGTTAAAATGTATGCAGGAGAAAAAATAATAAAAAAGAATGAGGTAGAATTCACCTCAACATAGTCTGGTGTTTGCCTACTGTTTTCTCCTTCTAGATTGTTCTCTGGTAATGTCAGATAAGGTCCCAGCCTAGCTTTAGGAAGTCTGTTTTAGGCTACAAGTGATCCACAGTTTGTGTCTGTCTCCTTCATGATGGCTGGTCCTTGTCATTCTGCCCTGCTGGGTTTTTATCAGCACAAGGCCTAGGGTTGCTTCATCTTCCTGGCTCTCCCCTGGGAGGTGCTGTTCAGTCTTCAGGGAAGATGGTGGGTATGTGCACCATCTTCCCACTCCTGTACCACAAGTCTTGATATGTCCCAGATTATGTCCAGTAATGTATAGTTTCTGGTGAATTAACTGTCCATTTCATGTGAGGGACTAATCTGTGTAAAAGAATCAGCTCTTTCCTGCTTGGTGCTGAGAGTATCTCTGTACAATAGCTGAGGCTAGGTGGGACCCTAAATACCCCTTGCTGCTCAAATTTCTAATCTTTCTGCTCTGCTGTTTTCGGTGGAATAGGGTCCAAGGATGAACGAGTACAGCTTTCACATCTATTAAAAGTTCAGAGAGGGCTCATGTGGAGATTATTTTTATTTCCTATGTGGATATGCACTAGCAGGGGGTTCTTGAGCTTGGCCATACTATTCTATGTAGCTTTCAATCCTGTAGGTGGGGTTTAGGCACACCTTCTTCTTCCTGGAGCTTTGAACTCTGCAGTGTGAGTGACCTGCCTGACTGCAAAGAATCTCAGGTGCTCAGGTCTTGCCCATCTAGTTCCCAGCCCACTTCTCTCACAGGAGCCTCAGACCTGATCTCTCCATTTGGTGCATAGTTATCCTCTTGCCAGGTGCACTGGGTGGGGCCCTGCAATCAGTTTGCCATACAGCTTTCTAATCTTCCTGCCTAACTGGATTCTGTGGGTACAAACCCTGCATTTTCAGTCTGGTTTATTTGCTGAAAAGAGCAGCTGCACATACATGCAGGTTTCCTGTCCAGCCACATTTAAGTTCCCCTTTTAAAAACTGTCTATGTGGCACACGCACTACAGGACCAAGTCACTCCAGTTCTCCATATCCTCAAACCTCCCCAGAAAGTAGAGTCTCACTCTCAGTCAGGGCTGGCTGCAGCCTGCCACTTTGTCTGACAGTTTTAGAAGATAGAATTTCTCTCTGGAACTATCCTGGTTGATACTGCAGCTATGGATGTGTTGCTTATTGTGTGTGTGCAACTTGAATCTCTCAGACTCTGTGCATCTTCCTAAGTCTCTCCTGATTAGGGATGGTGGTTCCCTGTGCAGGACTTGGGCCTCCTGCTCCAGGAATGGAGGGAGCAACTAAGCAGCATTTTCCATCTGGTCTCCCCTGCTGCAGGCACCTCACACAGGGTATTTTCTCTTCAACTTATAAAATCTCTTACCAGATGGTACAAAGCATCCTCTGCACTCCTTGGCTTCAAAAATTCATATCAGCTGAGATTCCACTGATTGTTCAGGTCACTTGTCAGAAGATCAGCTGAAATTCTGTTCTGGGAGCATGAGCAAGTGGGCTCATCTTCCACCCACTCTGAGGCCATCTTCCTCCTCCTTTTCTTCTTAAGTCCCTTTAACATGTTTTATAATACTGATTTGGTGGTGATGAACTCCACCTTTTTCTAACCTGGGGGGTTCATTATGTCTCCTATTCTGAAGGATAGTCTTGCTTGCTAGACTAATCTAAGTTGTAGGTCCTTGCTTTTCATCACTTGAATGTTTCATGTCAATCCCTTCTTGCCTGTAAAATTTCCATTGAGAAATTAGCTGATAGTCTTACAGGATCCCCCTTTTAAGTAACTAACTACTTTTTTGCTTGCTGCCTTTCAGATTCTCTCTGTGTATTTTTCATTTCTCACTGGGTCTTTTTCATGCTTTCTATCTTCTTATTTTTACATTTCCTATCTCCTTATTGAAATTCTCACTGAGATCACCTATTTTTCTTCCCCTAAGCTGAGTGAGCAACTATATAAAAACTGCTTAGGATTCTTCATCTGTCAGATTGCTTGTTTCCATTTTGTGTAGTTATTTTTTGTGAAGTTTTGTCCTGATGTTTTTGCTGCCTCCCCATGTTTATATCTGTATATTGTGTATATTTGTTAAGTATCTCCATTTTGGCAGAGTGGCCTTATATAGTAGGTGTCCTTTAGTATTTCTGTTTACCTGAACAGAGTGCTCCAGGGGTGTTGCTTCTGTGGGTTGTGTGCCTCTTCTGTTGCATTGCTGTTGGTGAGCTGGTGGATGGGATTGATCCTCAGAATGAGTGGCTATGAGGAATAGCATTTACTACAGTGAACAAGCTGACTCCATGGTGAGATCACTTTAGTGGACTCTAGTGCCTGCTAAGTCCATCCTTTGGAAGTGCCATTTGTGGTGCTAATTGGTTGGTGCTCAGATATGGTTTGAATCTGGCCACCAGATTTTTTGGTTCTTGGGCCTCTTGGGAGGGGCTCTGGTGTAGGCCAAGGTCAGCCACTGCCTGTTTCTGGCCCAGCACCACTTGGTAGAGGCTCCAAAGAGATGTGAGATTGATGGTTGCTTGTGCTGAGCTTGGAGGTGCCTTAGAGAGATAGTAATATGTAATTCATTATTTGTACCTTCATTTTATTCATTTTTATCAGTTCTGGATTTGGTGGATGGTTTAAAAAGGAGAAAATGTTTTGCACAGGAAGTGGGGGAATTGAAAAATCATGGAGGTGTGTGTTACCTGGTGAAAGACTATACTTGAAGAGCACCATCTGTTAACCTCTATGTTCTTCATTACCTACAATTGTGCCAGTTTCTGATAACATGTCACTGGTACAGTTGTACCACCATTGTGTCAGGAAGGGTTTCTCATCTGTCCTGCCTAGGTCAGGAACAAAAACTGATAATTAGCTGGTGGACCCCTAAGATTCAGTGCTATTGCCCTGACCATGTAGCCCAGTTGGTTAGAGTGTCATCCTGATACACCAAGGTCGTGGGTTCCATCTCTGGTCAGGGCACAAAAATGAAGCAACCAAAGAATGTATAAATATGTGGACCAACAAATCTCTCTCTAAATCAATTAATAAAAAATAAAAATATTCAGTTGTGTTGTGAAAACATTTTTTTCCAGTAGGCTCAACATTTTTCTAAATAGCAGCTCTTTGTAGCTGCTATTTAGGGAAAAAATAATATTTTCTAAAATGTCAATTTTTACCTTGTACAATGACAGCTGCTACCACTCAGCTCAATTTAACAGAGCTGTAACACCGATCACACTCTGTATTATGAAGGGCAGGTAACCAGGCTTTCTAGATCATGATTTCATTCTTAGTTAGTAGTTTAGGACATGAACATAAGATAAGCTTTAATAGTTATAGGATTAAATTAAAATTCTGAGTATTCAGGCGAGTGGTAGAATGTGTCATTAAAATTCACATTCTTATTATTCATTGAAATATTCTGCTAAAATAATTTGCAAGAGGAATAAAACACAGTGATTGAGTGCCCAGCTGATGTAGGTGCTAGAACATACTGAGGCATTAACTTCCCAAGTGTACCATGAGGTGGCACTGTTCTTAAATTCTGCTCTGCTTTTTTTAGTTGTTTCCACTCCTATGAATTTAACTTTCATTTCTCTTCCTTTTCCTGTGGGGAGCTCCTCCATGGAGAGCTGAACTCTGGCTTGGTGAGTGAATCTTGACCAGTCCTACACCTGATCTTCTCCACTGACTTTAGACTTCTGTACTTCTCCTGAAGGTAAGTGGGCCAGTTTCTGAGGAGAAAAGGAGGCTTTGAGGGAACAGATTGAATGTGTTTGGTGTCCGTAATGGTGGTTCTGAGCTGCTCTGCTTGCATGTGTTTTTGCTGAAGTGGCAGGTGAACCTGGAATCTTGGGGATAAGTGACCTTTAAAGAAGGGAGGTTTAGAAGGGCAGAGTCTTATTTGTTTCTTGGAGGGACCATTATTTCCCCAGGCTGTGTTACCCTCATCTTCTTGTTCTGTAGTTTTGACTTTCTGCCTTGTCAATTTGAAACAGAATACTCTCCCCCACCCCCACCCACTGCCAGGCAGATAATCCCTTTATCTTTTTCTCCAGTGATGTCTGTGAGATGGAGCCCTGGTTTCCTTCTTCATAAAGCAAAAGCTCTTGGGAGGGCTAGCTGAAATGAGAGCCTCTATCTGAATGCATGTGTGAGAAACAGGATCTCAGGAACTTGCCAGGAATCACCCCTTTTGTTGCTATTGTTGTACTCTTGTCCTGCTAACTTTTGGGAAGCTGTGCACAATCTCTCTGATAAATGCCTAGCCCTTTGGCAAGATGGATGAGAAAACCTGGATGGTCAGATTAGTGCCAATCACAGTAACTCTCCTGTGGTCACTCGTGTCTTTGTGCACCAGGCACAAAGAATTTGTTGTCCGCGGAGCGCCGTGGCTTATTCTACCTCAGTGTATCACATGACCCTCTGGTGTTCCTTCCTCTTTTTTTTTTTCTTTTTTTCTTTTCTCCCCCCCCCCCGTCTTCCCCCTCCCTCCCATTCCCCCCCCCCCCCCAGTCCTCATCTCTGTGTCTTTCATACTTGTTCCTCAAAATCCCTCCCCCTTTTTCCCCTTAAGTTCCCTTCCCTCTCCCCTCTGGTGTTCCTTCCTGTTTTTGATGTTTGCGTTCATCACCTAGACATACCCTTCTATTTGTTACTTCAGCCCCTAACTCAATTTTCCCTTGCAGTAAGCTAAGAAATAAAATTGGTAATTTTTCTGGAAAAAAACCCCTCTATTCTATTTCTTAAAATATTACAAAAAATTAGAATCGATGTTTAGCTTCAAATATACAGTATCATGATTACGCATTTACATGACCGAAAAAGAGATCACTCCGATAATTCTAGTACCCATGTGACACAATATGTAGTTAATACAATTATTAACTCTATTCTCTATAATGCACTTTATATCCCCTTGAAAATGTTCTTTGTATCTGAGTCTATTGTTATTCCTGATCATTTATTTTGTTTTTTTGTTTTGTAGATTCTACATACAAGTGAAATCATTTGGTATTTGTGTTTCTCTGTTTGCTTTATTTAATTCAGCAAAATATCTTTTAGGTCCATTCATGTTGTTGCAGATAGCAAGATTTCAGTCTATTTTAAAGTTGAATTGTATTTCATTCTATATAGCATCACTCCTTTATCCATTCATCTTTCAATAAACACTTTGGTTGCTTCCATATCTTGGCTATTGTAAATAATTCTACAATAAACATATGGATATATATGTCTTTTGGATTTAGTGTTTGGGTTTCTTCAAATAAATACACAGAAGTGGAATTGTTGGGTCCTTATCTGTTCTTACAGCTTTTATATTTAAGTCTATTTTGTCTGGTAGAAATATTGCTATCACAACTTTTCATTTGTTTTTATTTTCCTTTCAGTCTGTGTGTGTCTTTTCATTTGAAGTGAGTCCTTGGTAACAGTATATATAAAAGTCAATCACTGTGAATATTTAATACATTTGCATTCAAAGTAATTATTGATAGATATGTATTTATTGCCATTTTACTATTCATAATTTTTATATATTTTTAATTCTGCTCCTTAAAGAAGATGCTTTTATACTTCTTGTAATACTGATTGGGTGATGATTAACTTCTTTAGCTTTTTTTTTTCTGGGTAGCTCTTTACCTGATCTTCAATTCTAAAAAATATTTTTGCTGGGTAAAGTAAGAATGAATGTAGACTTTTGCTTTTCATCAGTATGAAATTTCCATGCCAATCCCTTCTGGCCAACAAAATTTCTGTTGATATATCAGCTGACAGTCTTATGGGAGCACCCCTCTAATTAACTGACTGCATTTCTTTTGTTCCTTCAAGATTCTCTATTTCTCTTTAACATTTGGCATTTTAATTATGATGTGTCTTGGTGTGGGCCTCTTTGGGCACATTTTGTTTTAGACTCTGTGAGCTCCTGGACTTGTATGTTGAGTTTCTTCACCAAGTTAGGAAAGATTTTAGCCATTATTTTTTCATGTATGTTTTCAATTTCTTTCTCTTTTCTTTTCTGGCTCTCCAATTATGTAAATGTTGTTATGCTTGAAGTTGTCCCAGAGACTCCTTATATGGCACTGTCCTCATTTTTTAGATTTTTTTTTTTTGCTGTTTTGATTGGGTGTTTCCTGCTTTTTTATCTTTCAAATCACTGATTTTATTCTCTGTTTCATCTACTCTACTATTGATTTCCTGTATGTATTTTTTTTTTATTTAGTGTATTCTTCATTTCTGACTGGGTCTTTTTTAGGTTTTCTATCTCCTTTGTTATTTTATTTTTTATTTATTTATTTTATTGATTATGCCATTACAGTTGTTCTATTCCCCCCTTCATTCCCCTCCACCCTACCCCCCATCCCCACCATTACCCCCCCTTTAGCTTATGACCATGTGTCTCAAGTTCTATAGATTCTATATTTCCCATACTATTCTTGCCCCCCCATCTATTTCCTATCTACCCTCTATGCTACTTATTTTCTGTACCTTCTCCCCTCTTCTCCTCCCACTCCCCTTTTGCTAACCTTCCTTGAGATCTTCATTTCTATGTTTCCACTCCTGATCTAGCTGTCCTTTTAGTTTGCTTTTGTTATAGGTGTGGTTGTTAATAACTGTGAGTTTGCTGTCCTTTCACTGTTCATGTTTTTTTAACTTCTTTTTCTTAGATAAGTCCCTTTAACATTTCATATAATAAGGGCTTGGTGATGATGAACTCCTTAAATTTGATCTTATCTGAGAAGCACTTTATCTGCCCTTCCATTCTAAATGAAAGCTTTGCTGGATAGAGCAATCTTGGTTGTAGGTCTTTGCCTTTCATGACTTGGAATACCTCTTTTCAGCCCCTTCTTGCCTGTAAGGTCTCTTTTGAGAAATCAGCTGGCAGTCTGATGGGAACTCCTTTGTAGGTGACTGTCCCCTTATCTCTTGCTGCTTCTAGGATTCTCTCCTTCATTTGAATCTTGGATAATATAATTATGATGTGCCTTGGTGTGTTCCTTCTTGGGTCCAACTTCTTTGGGACTCTGAGCTTTCTGGATTTCCTGGAAGTCTATTTCCTTTGCCAGATTGGGAAAATTCTCCTTTATTATTTGTTCAAATAAGTTTTCTACTGGTGGCTGTTCCTTTCCCCCTTCTGGCACCCCTATAATTTGGATGTTGGAGCATTTAAAGATGTCCTGGAGGTTCCTAAGACTCTCCTCATTTTTTTGAATTCTTGTTTCTTCATTGAGAATTCTTGTTCTCCAGGTTGGGTGGGGCCAGAAGTTGTTCTGGGTGGGGTCTCAGGGAATCGCCAGGGCTGGATGAACAGTGTTAGCCACATTTATGGATACTCAGATATTGTACCCATCTGGGAGCTCTGTGAAGTAAGGGCACAGCAAAGTAACAGCAGCTTTTGCCAGCACTTCTGTTTGGGAAAAATCTGCTTCTTCTCCCCATGTCCTGACAGAAAGACAATTCAGTTCCTCATCATATGTCCCTGGCACCTTCAGAGCTGCAGCCCCCATGCTGGCGCTCAGAGGTAGTGAGTTCAAATAAGTTTGTGCATGGGCCCTTTTAAGAGGAGGAAGCTGGGACTTCAGGAACCTCCATCTCAATCAGCCAATATCTCCTCTACTATTCACAACCAGAAATTATGGGGAATTCTCTTCCTGGTACTGTAACCCTGGGCTGAAACTTCTGGTATAGGGCTAATACCCCCAGTTCCTCAGAGGGACCTCTGAAGCTGAGATTTCCTCTAAATTTTTATCTGACATATGTGGGTGTGGGACCAGCCCATTCTGCATCTCCACCTTTCCTACCAGTCTCCATGTGGCTACTTCTTTATAGTCTTAGTTATTGAACTTTTGTTCACCTAGATTTCAGGCAATTCTGAATGATGGTAGTTCTGTAGTTTAGTTTTAATTTTTATGCCACTGTGGGAGATGTGAGCACCATGTATACCTACACTGCCATCTGGACTAAAAGTGGAAAGAACTCCATGTTAATTTCACCTTTGATCGTTTTGTACCTTGATATCTCTTTTACACATGTTTTGATGTGTATTTTCCTTCTTTTCAGAGGTGTGGAGTCTGTGCCTTATATGTGCACCATGTCCATATCTGATCTACGTTAATTGGCTCCTCAGGAGTTATCAGAGGTCTCAAATACAGGAAAAATAAATGTTTATAAATATTGAACATATTTTATTAAAATCACAAGAACAAGTGCATACACCTGTGGTATAAACTGTATTAACTTATACTGAACCTACAATCAATATTAAGTACCTACAAAAATTGTATCTCCAGGCATGAAAGAGAAGGTAATCATGCAGAAAGAAAAAGGTGTTATAAAACAAAATAAAAATTACTATGTTATAAGTATAAAACAATGAAAGAACAACAATCATAAATCAAAAGGGTTACGACAGAACAAGTTATCTATAAAACACTGGTAAAAAGCTTTGCAATTTTAAATAAATTTCAGATTAGGTCTCAGTGTGGGAAGATTATTTTGAGTAGAGTCTTCAAGGAAATGATAAAACATGTCCTAACCAGAATCAGAAAGGTGGCAAGAGTGTGTTGTAGGGAAGTTAGGCTGACAGGGCGAAGAAATAGAAAGGGATATGTAATGTAACCTACCTAGACCATGATAAAATTATTTGCTGACAGAGGGCTGCTCTGTGCACAGGGAAGAACCCCAGAACAAACTGTGCTATTTAGATATCTCATTTACATAGAACATACCTAAATGGAATTCTGGATGAAACTTGGACTTATAAAGTTTGACCTCCCCTTCGTGGAGGGAAACGTAATTATGTTGCTACCTGAATCTGTGTCTCCAGGCTGCAGCTCCTTTTGTTCCAATACATACTTTTTATTCTTTATTACTATCTGAAGTTAATTTTTGTATGCATTTTTTACTCCATCGTGGGAAGGACAGATAGTCCCTGGGGCTAGGAGACAGGGCCTGCTGACATGGTTCTTCAAGTGTGCTCTAAGTGATATCTTTTGCAGATACAAGAGGTACTTTATTCCTGTCACTTCAGTCTTTTAAGAAACCACACTAAGAAAATGTGTGAAATTTTAGTAAGCACTAAGCAGAGCATGAGCAGAGTAGGAATGATGGGCTGGGTACGTAGGGTCACCAGAGTAGAGAGCCCCAGGTATCTAGCAATGGCAAAACTACTATCTCTTGCACAACCACCTGCTCACCCCTGGAAATAACATTTAGGCCTCAGGTGTGTTTCAGCTTCAGGCCCAGAAAGGCAGCAAGGCCAGGCAGAGCAATGCCATGGAAGACATCCAGACCAGCTGCAATGACTAATCAGCCCCGTCCTCTAGTGCTGACCAATGTGTTGAAAACTAGACCCTGAGGAGACACATAGAGAAAGCTGATGAGTATTCCATTGAGACCCTCCCCTGAGAATTCAGAAAAAAGCCCCCAGGACTGAGGACCCAGTGAAGCTCTCTCTCTATGGAGCAAGCCTGAAGCTTTTTTCACCCCCTTCTTTTCCAGGGATCTCACTCTCTTCCCTGAACATGCCTGAACCTTTTTTTCTTTTCCTTTTTAAAAAATTGCCGTTCAAATAGTTTTCTGCCTTTTACTCCCATCCCAGCCCACCACCCCCAGCCCTCTCCACCTCCCTCCCATTTCTACCCTAAACCTTTCTTTTCTTTTCTTTTCTTTTCTTTTCTTTTCTTTTCTTTTCTTTTCTTTTCTTTTCTTCTCTTTTCATCTATCAAGGCACATGTCTCTCTCCTCTCTCTCTCCCCGCTTAAGCTCCAAGGGCCCTACTTTTGCCTCTGTAACTTGTTTCTTGAGCCATTTCTCCTATAGTTTCCTTCTTCTACCTCTGTGATTTTCTAAATAAAAATTTTTTAATGATTTGATTCTTGGCTCTGAATGCTTCTCTTAACCAGAACTCAAGTACCAAGGTTGCTAAACCAAGGTCCAGTCTGTCTCCATTGGTTAAAAACTGGTGCCATTCTTGCTATTTACAAAACTACCATTGTTTATGTAAGCCTAGTAATGACAAAGAACCAATTACCTTGTAATAGTCCATGAACACAACTTCCAGAGGCCTAAAACAAGCATAGTAAGTTATGAGTTACATGTCACTTATGACAATTAAGGTCTATGATAACTGGCATTTAAAGGTGATATAAAGTCTCTGTAGTCCAAATGTATTTTACACATTTGTTCATTTTTACTGTCTGTAATGTTGCCTTACAAGGCAGCCAAACTTCCAAGTTAATGTAACCCAGTAGGTGCCCCTGGCCCCGATTCTCTGAAAAACAACAGCAAAAACCAGCCTACTAGATGAATAAGCCAATATTACCTTTATCTGACGTTGATCCTTCGTTCCCACATGATCTAACCCCCCTCCTGTCTTTTTACTTCATGGTATGTCTCACTCTCTCATCCCCTGCTCTCTGTTTCTTTTATCTCCTTGTCCTAAAAGCTGTCATCATCTCTCCCCTGGGCAACAGCACGTGCATCCTCCTCACCTTCCCAACTCCATTGTCAAAGTAAAAATGTCAAAACTTGGAGAGTTTTTTTAAAAGTTTATTTGAGCCAAACAGAGGATATGCCATGAAGCAAGACCACAACAGACTGAGAAAAATACTTCCTAGAAAGGCAGTTTTCAGCTTCTTTTACACATTTGAAATTAAGCAGCATAGTAAGGAATATTACACAAAAGTTGGCAAAAGAAAGGCAGGAATTACAGAATAGTTAAGACTATGTACTCTCTTGAGGGTGGTCACACTTCTGAGAAGTCTGAAAATGGGACATTTTGAAGGTACACAGAAACTGTGCATTTAGGCAAAGATAATCTTTTAAGTAAATAAGTTATGTGCCTGGGGGTGACTTACCCAGTTAGGAATTTATGATCAGATCACCCTATGAGGTAACTATCCATAGAACCTCTCTCTCAGCTACTACAACTCACATTGTACAGCCTGCAAGTGCAGAGCCAATCACGTTTCCTGTGTTCTCTGGTGGGAAAATACGGATAATATCTTTTGGTCCTGGAAAGAGTACCTAAATGTTACATATTGGGGAAACGCCATATATCATGGTCACTATAGGCTCGTGTGATATCAAAGGCCTGGCACTTTTGTGCACACTGGCCATACTAGCATTTACAAACTAAGACAAGGTGGTATATATCTTCCATAAACAGGTCATTTCCTCTACCTAATACCTTTTTTTCTCTTCCTCAGTTTTTCATCTTTTTCATTGGTCAATCCAACTTTTATGTTTTCAAGCTAGAGTTATTGGACAACCCTTTATCTGCCCCCATTATTGGATTTTGCAACAGAATGCACATCTCTCTTTCGGTGTTTTTTACATCATCTTGTTTGCACATATATATGACTGTCTAATTTACTATTTATTTTCAGGTGAATGTCAAGGTCCTAGTGGTTTAATAAGCTCTCTGTTTAGACTCATTGTGCTGTTTATAAATATTAGCCCAGTTATTAGCATGTAATTCACTGTCAGTGATTGATACGTGCACTGACAAGTAGTGCCCGCAGCATCATGGATGAGACATGAGACAAATTCACATGGACTACTGAGTCCTGTGGAGGAAAAGGGCCCTCAAGGGGGGAGAGCCTCAGAATAGCCTCGCCACACTCTCAAGGGGAGAGCAGCTCAGAGCAGCCGGGCAACTCTCTCCAAGGGAGAGAGAGCTGCTGCAGCGGCCAGGCAACTCTCTCACCAGGGGAGAGAGTGCCCTGACCCTTGCCTAGTCAGGCTTTTTTATTGGGATTTTTGCACAGGAGTTCAGGTATAGCTTATTAATCATTGTCAAGCAGTAAACAGTAGATAGGATACAAAGAACAATTGGGGTTTCTTCTAAATCAGGGCCTGTCAGCTAAAATAGAACTTTGAGAACATAAACTCTTCTTCTGCTTGGGCCCTTATTATCTAACTAAAAGCAGTCTTAAATAAAGCAGGTGTCACAGGGTTTCACATATTCCTTCTCAGGCCTAATTACCCAGGGAGCCTGCCATTCCCAGCACAAGGCTTGCGCCTCCTTCCCCATCATAGGTTTTTATTTTTATTTTTAATTTTTTTATTATTATTATTTTTTCCCCATCATAGGTTTTTAGGCTTAAGTGGATTAGAGCCAGGAAGCGCTTCTCCCAGAGGACATGGGGACTTGGGCTTTGTCACAGCTGGCGGGGGGGGGGGCGAGGGTCCATCACTCCCTCTTTGTCACAGCCCCCCAAATCCTTCTATGATGGCCTCCCAAGTGATCATGTATGGCCTAGGTTGCCCCTCCTCTGAGGGGTCTCACTTGTCTCTGACCATCCAACCATATTTTAGGGGCAGGGAGATGAAGCAGGGACAACATCTGCTGCCAGAGACAAGCCTTGTCTCCTCAGTGGCTGGCATTCTGCAGGTCGCACACTCAGCCTTAAATGTTTGCAATTCCTGAAACCAGGCAGGGCGGTCCCCAAAAGTGATAATCTGTTGAATGATCTTTCCTAGTATTTGGAGACTTTTTTCTCAAGACTGACATTAATTTCATCTGTTTCTCTGTTTTTAGATGTGTGACAGAATCCTATGAGTATATTTGTACTATTTCATTTCCTACCATCCACATACATGCATACATTTTATCTCCTATAAATGTCCTTGGCATACTTCCAGACCAAGCTGAAATTTCACTCTTTATAAGCACAAGACTCCCAAAAACCTCCTAGCTGGTCTGTGTCCCTTCACTACCACCCCTTTCCCCATTTGGGTATTAATTGGGTCAATGAGGTTACCTCAGTTTGTCATTGGTTGATTCAGTGGAGTAGGAATAGATCTCTGAAGGGAGATCCCAAATATTATTTTCATTTCAACTCTCTGTATTGAAGGTAATGATTTTCTTAATTCACTTACTATTTCTATATATTCATCTGATAAAGAGTTTGCTTTGGCTATGTGTGCAAACACATTGTCACATAGTGTGTCATGATAATAAGAGAAGTTGTAAATGTACAATAAGTGATGACAATGGTTAAACTGTAAACAAGCAAATCAAAGCAGGTCTTTCTGATAAACAAACATGTCAGGAGGAGAGTGAGCCCTACCGATATTGGGGACAGCACTGCCTGCTGAGAGAAGAGCTGATATAAAAGCCAGGAAGCATGAGTAGCTTGGTGCTTTTATTATCCAGGGTGTGCATGGCTTAGGAAAAAAGAATCAAGAGAGATGGAGAATCACACAAGCACTTTGGTAGAAAAAGTGTCAGGCCATTGTTTTTGTTTTTTTTTTTTTAGTAAAATAATAAAAATAACAATTTCATATGTAAAGTAATAATTTATCATTTGAGATGATCCAGAAATTAAGTGTTTGAAATTTTTATGCAAAACTTTTATAACCAGGTTTCCAACTTTTCCCCCTTGTTTCTATTCTTTTATTTTCTTCAATTTTGGTCACTGCCCACTTTGATTTCTAAACAATTATCATGATTTACTCCTAATTCTCTTACTCTGCTCCCTTTTAACCTTTGACACAAAGTCAGGATCTGTGAGCAAGAGAAACTTCGGACACCAGTACAAGTAGGAGAAGGAGAGCAGCTGCGATGGCTTCAGGAATCCTGATAAACATGAAGGAGGAGGTGACCTGCCCCATCTGCCTGGAGCTCCTGACAGAACCTATGAGCCTGGACTGTGGGCACACATTCTGCCAAACCTGTATCTCTGCAAACAAGGAGTCCATGGTCAGTGAAGGAGAGAGCCGCTGCCCTGTGTGCCGAATCAGGTACCAGCCTGGGAACCTGCGGCCTAATCGGCATGTGGCCAACATAGTGGAGATGCTTCGAAAGACCAAGTTGAGCCCAGAGGAGGAGCAAAAGACAGATCTCTGTGAGCGCCATGGAGAGAAACTCCTGCTCTTCTGTAAGGAGGATGGGAAGTTCATTTGCTGGCTCTGCGAGAGGTCTCAAGAGCACCGAGATCACCACACTTTCCTCATAGAGGAGGTTGCCCGGGAGTACAAGGTAACAGACCAGGATGGAGGAAAGACAGGGCAGAAAATAGTACTTGATGGGAAATCTCTACTTTGCATTTGGCTTTAATTACTTTGCTAATATATTCTTGAGTCCTGTCATCACATTTCTCCCTATGCTCAGCTTCCAAGGCCAGAAGGACTTTTCTGTGCATTCCACACAATTATAAAATGATATGGAGACTCAAAATCAGAAGTCGATATTTTTATAGCTTGTGCTAATAAGTGGAGGTTTAGTGTCTAAGCAAAGCTGTCATTGCCCCTTTGAACAGGAGGAGTAAGTGGGCAGCTGGGTGGATTCATGCCTAAGTTCTCTCCTTACTACTAAATCAGGTGTCTTCTTCAAGGACACAGAGGATCAGTCTTCTGACATGGGAATGATAGTTTCTATCACCTAAGTCTTAGAGAAAATATTCAGGCATCAGGTTTCTTGTAAGTCACAGATTCTAATTGTTGTTTCATAGTTACTGTATACTATAGTTTCTTCAGACATTGGCCTGATTTTCCCCCTTTGTCCTCTATTTTGATGCTGAAAAAGTTCATAGCTTGACTCTGATGTGGTTCCTCTTCACAGGAGAAACTCCAGGCAGCTCTGGACAGGCTGAGGGCTGAACAACAGAAAGTTAAGAAGTTTGGCACTGACATCAGAGAAGAGAGAACTTCCTGGGAGGTAGGAGGAGACTCCTCTTGAGGGAGTTAGACAAGGATCTGGGTAGATCTCAGTCCCAAGGAGCTCCCGTCCTCCTGTTCCCTGACAGTTGGTATGTCCAGAGTTATTGATTAATCATTCTTTATCCTTTTCCTGAGAGAGATTGTGACTGAGAATGAACCTGTCACAAATTAACACAGATATTTGTAAGTTAGTGATTCTCATAGAGAGCCTCTCTGGGAAGGATAGCTAGTGACTTCTCTGTTTATTTTTGTTGTTATTTTGAGCATTTAACTCTTCCAGGGGAAAACAATTGCCAATGTCTCATGGCTCTTGTTTTCTGGTTCTCAGTGTTAGGTTGAGGATGAGGGTCATGAGTAATGCAGGAGGCATGACAGTCCTGCACAGCTATGTGAAAGCTGAGCCACACCCAGGGTTCCATTGTGGTGCAGGGTTGGCCTGAATAATGCAAATCAGAGGCTAATATTTTAAAATGTGATTAGTTCCTATAGGAAATATAGCCTCCCCAAGAATTGCTCCTCTACTTTTATCTCCCTTCTCTGTGAGAACTTCCTAATCAAATACTTTTTCTGGCTCCCAGTCTGCCTAATTAAGTGAGTTCCTTTCTATCTTTCTCATTCCTAAAGAATCAAATAAAAAGTGAGATCCAAAGTGCCCAGGATTGTTTTAAAAAAATGAGAGACGTCCTGTACAGCAAGGAGCAAGAAGAAGTACAAAAGCTGGAGAAGGAAAAGAGAGATATTTTCAGTGACCTGGAACAGTCTGAGAGTGAGCAGGTCCAGCAGACCCTGTTGTTGAGTGATCTCATCTCTGAGCTGGAGCATCGGTTGCAGGGGTCAACAATGAAGATGCTGCAGGTAAGACTAGGAAAGAAGCGTTAGCATCTGAACTTGAAGAAAATGAAGACTAAATTTCCTGCACTGCTGTGCAGCTGTGCTGTTTCTGGTGGTGACACTGAGGTTCCCATGGTCTTGCAGTAAAATTTTCCTGCATTTCAGAGGTCATAGGAATAACTGTGCATGAGTAACAAGGAAAAATCTTGTTTTTTTTAAAATTAATGTATCAATTTCAGTGCAAAAAATTGACGATTGATAAAAGATCCATTGTGTTTAATTATATTCTATAGGCCCTTGTATCTATGATCTAGTATAGAATATTTTTAAGATACCTCTTCATGATCCAAGATTTTTTTCCTTAGAATAAGTTGAGATTTTTTCTTCTACTTCTGTGTTTTTCTGAGTAAACAATTATGAAGAATTGATATTTTTTTTAATTATTCAATACACTCACCACGGAAACCATCTTACTGTGGACTTTTCTTTTTGGAAAAGTTTAACTTTTTTTACTTGTATTAGGTTTTCTTTTTTTAAAAAAATATTTCTTTAGTCAATTTTTTAAAAGTTTCATGCAGCAGTTAAAAACATTTATTTTAATTTTAACTTTTAAAATTTTAATTGTTGTTCAAGTACAGTTTTCTGCCCTTTACCCCATCCCAACCCATCCCCCCAGCCCTCCTCACCTCCCTCCCACCTCCACCTGCCCCTTGTTATTGTCCATGTGTCCTTTATACTAGTTCCTTCAAACCCTTCCCCCCTTTCCCTGAAATTCCATCCCCTCTCTCCTCTGGTCACTGTCAGCCTGTTCTCAGTGTCAGTTTCTTTGGTTATTTTGCTTGTTTGTTTGTTTTGTTGATTAGATTTCTGTTAAAGGTGAGATCATATGGTATTTAACAATTTTTCATAATGTACATCATTGTAGAAATTTGTCCATTTTAATTTGTAAGATTTGTAAACATGATGTTAGTCATCATAGTCCCTTAGAATTTCTCTTATTTCTACAGTACTGCAGTGATTTTCCCTCTTTTATCTCAATATCGTTGATTTCATTTTATTTTTTGCCAATTTAATTATGTTTGGTTAAATTTATTGATGTTTTTCCAGAATAAACTATATTGTTTTATTAATTTAACTATTTTTAATATTTTTGTATGATTGATTTTGCTCTTATATAGTTCCCTTTGCTTGTTTAGATCTGTATGCACATGTGTATATGAGTATGTGTATATGTGTTTGTGTGTTGTATGCTTGTGTGCTTATTGTGTTTAATTTATTGTTCTCTTTATAGTTTCTTAATGTGATAATTTAGACCACTGATTTGAGAGAATCTTTTTTTATTTTTTGTTCAAGTACATTTGTCTCCATTTCACCCACCATGCGCCCCCACCGCATCCATCCCCGCATCCCACTCTCTAACCTACCTCCTTTGGCTTTGTCTATGTGTCCTTTATACGTGTTCCTTGACAGCCTTTTTCTTATTATCCTTTATTATCCCACTCCCCACTCCTCTTTAGTTACTGTCAGTTTGTTCTTTATTTCAATGTCTCTGGTTGTATTTTGCTTGCTTGTTTGTTTTGTTGATTATGTTCCAATTATAGGTGAGATAATATGGTATTTTCTCTTTTACCACATGGCTTATTTCACTTAGCATAATTCTCTCCATTCCATCCATGCTGTTGCAAAGGGTAGGAGCTCCTTTTTTCTTTCTGCTGTATTCCATTGTGTAAATGTGCCACAGTTTTTTGATCTACTCATTTACTGATGGGTACTTAGGTTGCTTTCTGCCCTTGGCTATTGTAAATTGTGCTGCTATGAACATTGGGGTGCATATAATCTTTTCTGTTATAGTTCTAATATATAAGTGCATTTAAAATTATATTCTCCACTTTTGATTTATTTACTTTTTAAATTTAATTATTTTCAGATTTTCTTTTTGATTACTTTATTGACTCTTGGGATATTTGAAACTCTTGTTTAACTTACAAACACTTGGTGTAAACTTATTCTGCTGTGTCTCATATTTAGTTTCTTTCTAATCAGGAAATATATTTTAGGACTTAAATCTATTAAATGTATTGATGCATGTTTATTACTTAAAATATTGCATGTCCAAAATTATTACATGAATTTAATTTACAAAGTGTGTTGTGCATTCATTGGGTGATGGGGTCTATAGATGACAGGTAAACCTGGTTCATACAGTTGGACATTTCATCTACATTCTTAATGATTTTTTTATTTCTATGTTTTAAAACTTTTTATTGTATTTTTCCATTACCACTTACCCTCTTTATATATTTATATCTTTGATTTTTTTCTTCTTGTTCTTAAGTCCCTTTAATATTTGCTGTAATACTGTTTGGTAGTGATGAACTCCTTCAGTTTTTTCTTCTCTGAGAAGCTATTTATGTCTCCTTGAATTCTAAATAGCCTAGAAATCTAGGTTGTAGGTCATTGCTTTTCATCACTTTCAATATTTCATGCCAATCCCTTCTTGCCTGAAAATTTTTTATTGAGAAATGAGCTGATAGTCTTATGGGAGCCCCCTTAGAGATAACTAACTGCTTTTCAGATTCTCTCTTTTTGGTTTTCATTTCTCACAGGGGCTTTTATGCTTTCTATCTCATTTTTTATGTTTCTAATATCTTTTTTGAAGTCCTCACTGAGATCATTTATTCTTCCCCTGAGTTCAGTGAACATCCTTATTAACCAGAGTTTAGAATTCTCTATCTGGTATATTGCTTGCCTCAATTTTGTTTATATATTTTTCTGAAGTTTTGTCCTCACCTTTCATTTGGGACATGTTTCTTTGGGTCAGCATTTTGGCTGCCTCCCCATGGTTATTTCTATATATTATGTATATCTGCCAAGTCTCCTCATCTTGGCAGGATGGCCTTATGTAGTAAGTGTCCTTTGCAGCATCCCTGTTCATCTGAACTGGGTGCTCCAGGGGTTTCGCTTGTGTGGGTTGTATGCCTCTTCTGTTGTAGTTGAGCTTGATTACTGTTGGCAAATTGGTGGGTGGGATTGACCCTCAGGCTGAGTGCATTTGAAGAATAGCATTGGCTATAGCATTGAACAAGCTCTTGTAATGGTGATGACTCAGTGGAGTAGGATTCACTTTAGCAGGGCTCTAGTGCCTGCTGAATCCACCATTTGGGTGTGTCATTTGTGGTACTAGTTGGGCAGTGCACTGGTGTGTTCGGAAGCTGGCCACCAGATTTTTTGGTTTGGGGCCTTAGAGGGCCTCTGGTGTAGGCCAAGGTCAGCCACTGCCTATGCGTGGCCCAGTGCCTCCTGATACAGACTCCAAGGAGGTCTGGGGTTGGTGTTTGCCTGTTCTGGGCTTGGAGATGCCTTGAAGAGGTGCTGTGGTTAACCAAGATCAGATGCTACTACTGTCTGTGTGCAGCTGCTTAGCAAGAATTAAAGGGCATCTGAAGTCAGCCACTGATTGTTTGCTGTTTGTGGACCTTTAAGAAGTTTTAGGAAAGTTAGGGTGTTGGCTGGCAGGTGTCCCTGTATTTCTGAAAGAGATTTGGCCAGAGGTTTTAATTGTGTTTGGTGGAGTCTCAGAAAATCACTAGAATGGAGCAAGAGTCGTGTTAGAAGAGTCTGGGGTTAATGAAGACTCAGATTTGGCATTGACCTGGGCCTACAGGCCATGTGAGGGCAGGGCTCAACAAGAGAAAAATGGCACCTGTTGGTACTTTAGTCCCTGGGAGTTTCCTGTCAAGCCCTCCACCTGAAGCCAGACAATTCAGTTTCTCTCTGAATGTCTCTGGCCTTTGCAAGACTCTTCCCATATTCTGGGGCATAAGACAAGTGTTTGTGAGGGAATCACACCATGCTAGGGCCCTTTAAGGAGACACTTGGTTTGCATCAGCCCTCTATTACATGTGGACTGAGACTGCTGATTTTCACAGCCAGATCATGTGGGGACTCCTCTTGGTACTTCTGTCTCAGCTTGCTGTGGGGCTGGGACTCCTCGTTCCTCAGTAGGACCTCTACAGCCAAGATATTTCTCTCATTTCTTAACCTCCACATGTGGGTATGGTACCAGCCAGTTTAGTCTCTGCCCCTCTTACCACTCTTGAGATGGCTTCTCCTTTATATCTTTAGTTATAAGAGTTCTGTTCAGCTTGTCTTTATGTGGTTGCTGGAGGAGATGAGCATAGCATTTACCTACTGCACCATTTAAATGAGAATTCATCTTTTTAGTTTTGCCATATTTGTATCTTTGAACCCAAAACACATCTGTTGTAGATAGCGATAATTGTAATTGCTTTTTATCTAGTCTGACAACCTCTGCTTTTTAGTAGGTGGATTAAGACAATAACATTTAACACAATCATAGCCCTATTTAATTTATGTTATTATTTGCTTCTACATGTTGCCTGCTGTTTTAATTGTGCTCTTTCTCATTGACAGCTTCTTTTGAGTTAAATAGATATTTTTAGTATAAAATTTTAAGTTTTACTATTTTCTACTTTTGTGGTGTTTGCTTTTCTATTTACAACATGTATCCTATTTTCTCATGATCTACTTCAGATTAATATTAAATTAATTCCAGTAAAATACAAATACTAGCATCTAACATTGCTTTATATTCTTCCAGCAACAATACAGAGATGGTTTTACATGGGCATTTGATCCAGAGCAGGCCAGTGCCATGAGGGCCTTGGAACTGGATATAACTGAGAAGACAAATTCTATTTTTTTCAGGAATTTATTAGAGGAGACACATGTTTTCTTCATGAACTGAGGATAAAGTCAATATAGAAGCATACATAGAATTGGAGAATGACATACACCAAATCTTGATGACAGTGTTGGAGCTTCAAAACTAAACTTTGATTAAAGTCACAACTGTCCCCCAGATTCCTTTTCTCTACTTCATCCACTTTTAATTGTTTTTGTAATATACAACAACAAAGCCCTCACACAGAGAGCAAAGTATGTTTTTGTGTGTGGACCCATAAGTTGGCTTGCTTTTTGGTGTCATGGAAGAAGTTAGTCTGAGATAAAAAGAACAAATATATTAGAACTCGTGTTCAAAAAAATAAATGAGCAATGGTAAATACATTCACATGACTAAAAACTGTTAACAGTGTGTACTGAACTGGCTTGGTAGAGAGTGAAATGTAGGTAAGCATTGTAATGTTGATGACAGTGACTAAGTGGATATTGGTAACATAGACAAAGGGGTATAAAGAAGGAGGCAATTTGGTTGGTGAAGTGTAAGGTACATATGAGACATCCTAAGTTACTGGTTTCTGTGGCTTCTTTTTTAGGGAATATATTAACCTGGATTTAAGAGACAAAACTGAGTAAAAATAAAGGCTTGGAAATCAATTGCACATGTGTGTATTTAATTTAGGGACTGAATGAGGTCAATTATGGATATTGTATAAAATAAGAGACTTGAGAAAAGCCTACACTAATACATTTTTTTTGCTAGTACCCTTAGCAAAGGTCAAGTTCTTGAGGAATACTATAATTACTCATCTTTGTTTCTCCCACTTATGGCATAATGTTTGACAAATAATAGTGCATCACTTTACATTCACATTGAATGAATTAACAACCATGAATTATTCAAATCATCTTAACGGGAGCCTTATGAACATGGGAAAAATATCTTGGACCTGATGTTTTCTTCCAAGTCTTATCACCAGGTACTGAAAGATCATGTTGTACTTCCACAAGGGTCAAAATTCTTTTTAAATTGTAGGAAACCTGGCAACTTTAACTGAGCCTTCTGGAATAATTGACCTGGGTCTTGTCTTTAATTTTTGGCCCACATTGGGACCATATCTATTCCCATCATATCACAGGGTGGTGGGGATGAGTTGAAGCTTTGTAAATGAGGAGGCTTATTACTTATTTACTTATGTTTTTCTCTTTAGGATGTGAATGGCATCTTGGAAAGGTATGTGTGGAGACCAGAGATGAACTTTTTGTGGTATCAAATAAGGTTTAAAGCCATTAAAGTTATTTGGTGGGGTTTTTAAGTATATTTTATTGAGTGTGCTATTACATTTGTCCATTTTTTTCTCCCTTTCATCACCTTCACCCTGACCCCCTTCCCTCCATCATTCCCCCCTTAGTTCATGTTAATGGGTTGTACATGTAAGTTCTTTGGCTTCTCCATTTTCTATACTATTCTTAACCTCCCTCTGTCTATTTTGTGTCTACAATTATGCTTCTTAATCCCTGTACCTTTCCTCCCATTATCCCCACTGAACCTCTCCGCTGATAACCCTCCATGTGGTCTCCACTTCTGTGATTCTATTTCTGTTCTAGCTGTTTGCTTAGTTTCTTGTTTGTTTGTTTGTTTTTGTTTTATTGGTGGGGAGAGGGGAGTTCAATTGTTGATAGTTGTGAGTTTCTTGTCATTTAACTGTCATAGTCTTGATCTTCATTTTCTTAGACCCTTTAACATTTCAAATAATAAGGGTTCAGTGATGATGAACTCCTTTAACTTTACCTTATCTGGGAAGCACTTTATCTACCCTTAAATTCTAAATCATAGCTTTGCTGGGTAGAGTAATATAGGTTGTAAGTCCTTGCTTTCATGACTTTAAATACTTCTTTCCAGCCCCTTCTTGCCTGTAAGGTTTCTTTTGAGAAAGCAGCTGACAGTTTTATGGCAACTCCTTTGTAGGGAACTGTCTCCTTTCCTCTTGCTGCTTTGAAGTTTCTCTCATTATCTTTAATCTTGGGTAATTTAATTATGATGTGTCTTGGTGTGTCTCTCCTTGGATCCAACTTCTTCGGGATTCTCTGTGTTTTTCTAGACTAGCATGTCTAGTTCCTTTGCCAGATTGGGGAAGTTTTCCTTCATTATTTTTTCAAATAAGTTTTTAATTTCTCCTCTTCCCCTTCTGGCACCCCTATGATTCAGATGTGGAAATGTTTAAGAGGTCCCTGAGCCTCTCCTCATTTTTTTGAATTCTTGTTTCTTCATTCTGTTCTGGCTGAATGTTTATTTCTTTGTTTTGTTCCAAATCATTGATTTGGGTCCTGACGCAATGCCAGCCCTCCTTGTTCGCAGCATTACAGATGAGATGAAATAAATTCACAAAGACTACCAAGCCCTGTGGAGGAAAAGGGACAGTGTGACTTCTCTCTCAAGGGGAGAGCAAGCTTTTGAGCACCTGGGCCCCCCTCTCAAGAGGAGAGTGCTCTAACCCTTGCCTTGACAAGTTTTCATTGGATTCAATTTGCATATGAATACAAGGTATATAGGTAAAGTTCATCAATTATTATCAGGCAGAAATGATTCAATGATAGATAACATCCAAAGAACTCTGAGGGCCTATTTTGAGTCAGTGTCAGATAGCTAAAGGGCAACAAAACTTTGGGGAACAAACTCACTTTCTGTGTGAACCCTTATTATTTAATTGAGAGCTTCTAAACAAAGCAGGTTTCACAGGATTTTACATATTTCTTCTTAGGCCTGATTGCCCTAGGGAACCTGCCTTTTCCAGCACAAGGCTGCATTCACCACCAGCATTGTTTCAGGCTTAATTTAGTTAGTGGGAGTAAGGCAGCCAAGAGATTAGGAGACTTTTTGCAAACAGAATGAGGCCTCAGGTTAAGCCAAGGGCGAGGGTCCATCACCCTTTTTCTGTACACCCTGAGTCCTTCCCTGGGGTCCTCATCACGGTGCCTGTCTTAGGTCGTCACCCCCCCCACCTACCTCCCCCCACCCCGTGAGGAATCTTACCTGTCATTGGCTAACCAATCAAACACTGGGGACCAGGAAGGGTAAAGTAAAAAGAGGAGAGGTGGCACTTCTGCCAGGGAGATAAGCTTTGTCTCCTTAGTAACTAAAGGTCCCAAGGTCGTTCACTCAGCCTTAGCCATGGGGGGCATTACAGCTCCTGAAAACAGGCAGGGCAGTTCCCAACGAGTCCAAGTTTCTTTCCCTTTGCTGTTGGTTCCCTGCATATTTTTCTTTATTTCACTTTGTATAGTCTTCACTTCTTCCTTTATTTTTGATCATACTCAGACATTTCTGTGAGCATCCTGATTACCAGTGTTTTGAATGCTGCATCTGATAAGTTGGCTTCCTCCTCATTGCATAGTTCTTTTCCTGGGGTTTTGATGTGTTCTTTCATTTGGGCCATATTTCTTTGTCTCAGTCCACCATTTACATTGTAAGGGGAGGAGCCTTAGGTATTTGCCAGACCAAGGCAACTCACTTCACTGCATTGTGGAGCTCTATGTGGGGGGGAGGGGTCAGAGAGGGAACATTGCCACTTGCTTGGCTCTCGCTCCACTTTCAGTCACTTCCCTCACTTTCCACAAGCAGATTGTGCTGATTCCTGGGTAGGCAGGCTTGTGTACATTCTAAGGTCCCATAGGCCCCTCCAATGGACTCTCTAGTGAAACTGGGAGTTTCTTCTGATGCTGCAAACTTCACAGGTTTTCACAGCCAGAGGTTTAGAAACTTTAGTTTCTTATACTGGAACCCTGGGTTATGCAGTCTGTCCCACTCCCCAGTTGTTCCTTCTGGCCTATCTGTACATGAATGTGGGGTATCTTGTTCTGCCATCTCCCACCTTTTCACCTGTCATCACTGTCCCATCTTCCCATCTCTGCCCCTCCTACCAGTCTGGATGAATGTTTCTTCTTTAACTCCTTGGTTGTCAGACTTCCACACAGTTCAATTATCTGGAAGCTCTGGTTGTTTTTTTTTGTTTTTAAATTGGTTGTTATCCTTCTTTTGGTTATGTGAGGAAGCAAAACACATCTACCTATGCCTCCATCTTGGCCAGAAGCCCTAAGGTTATTTGGTGTATAATTAGAGTAAAATATTGCTAAAGGGAGAAAAATCTGGGTGCAGTTTTATCTTAAATTTGTGTTCACATATTATGGTTTGCATGTTATATAACTGTTGAGACTGGACAAGATTCTATGGTAGGGAATTTAGGTTGGGGGACTTGCGGAGTTTGTGACAGCAGCACAAATGAGATGTTGCAGTATCAGATCCATGTGATTTTGGAAACTTTACTCATCCAGTGTGCCTGTATTTAACTGAGTATTTCATAGCTGCTTGATCTGTAGTGGGTAGGTTATGTCCTCTTTACCTGCCAAATACCCAGAATTGGAGACAACTCTTTTATATTTAAGTTTCTGTTCTGGGAATAGGAGAGTTCTAGTCCTTCTACATGGTTCTCTTTATTTTTCAAAAACAGACCCCAATCACAAAGAATATTTTGGTCTTGGTGCAAACAATTGATCCCTTTTGATCATGCATTTTTGAAGCCAGAATGAAAGTGCCACACTTTTTTGTCTAAATTTGCACACCTACCTGGCTGCATCAAGATCTTCAAACCCATGACATTTAGACCACTATTAGCATGGAATATGTGTCTTCTTTTCCAAGTATTACAATTTTCCCCAGAAAACCTGAAATGTATTCTTAGGGCCTCCCCACTGGGGAGGAGACTTTAAAGGTCCTGATGCCCTCCAGAGAGTGTTCCCTCACTTGATGTGTCTCAAACAACTAGGAGCTAGGTTCTGCAATCTCACTTTTGTGCAATATCCCTACACATCCATTCAGTGACTTTTCCTCACATTATGTTATTTTTACAAACAAAAGTTTTCCTTTAAAAAATTCATGTAAATTTATATGATTCTAAGAGTTAGAGATGTATAGGTTAGTTATCATCTTGAAAGGAATAAACTGTACTTCAGAGAGGTCAAGGCCTTTCTAAGAACACACAGCATGTACTGAAAAGTTGGACATGAGCACATTCCTTTGGCTACAGGGTCAAGTGTCTATTTTTTCCTTTCTCAAGGTCTACATGAAAGGAGGCTTAAGTGCTTAATGGGTTAAATATAAAGAATTCAGTAGTTTTGGAGAGACAAAAATGTAGGGATCTTTTCTTTTTTTGTCATCCTAGGAGTCAGACCTTCACTCTAAAGAGGCCAAAAATTTTCTCCAAGGAACAAAGGAGAGTATTCCAAGTTCCTGACCTGAATGGGATGCTACAAGTGTTTGATGGTGAGTAATGCTGAGCAAGTGGGTGGCTGTGGGATTCTTGTGATGGTGGGAGTTAAAGAGAGAGGAGGGTTCAGTTTCTAGGTGTGGATAGAGGAGACAAAGGAGGAGGGATATGTGATCATATTTAATGGGTAGAGGCCAGCTGTCCTATTCATCTCTCATTCTGCTGTTTACTATCTCACATAGCCCCCAGTCTCTCCCCTCACCTGGAGAAGAAATAGATTCTAGTGCTAACTCCTTTGCTTATATTTAATATTATATATTTTTTTCATTTTAGAGCTGGCAGATGTGCGCCGCTATTGGGGTAAGGAAAAATCACTGTATCATGAAGCCTCTGCCCTCATCCTCTCTCAGAATTTCGGGTTTCCTATTATGTTCCTTGTTTTAAGACCCAGGATCCCTTTCCCCCACACACATACACATTATGATTCAGCAGTTTTATACCTATAACCAAGAATAAAACTAATTCTTGGTTTTATTCTATTCCCAAGAATAAAACTAGTTCTTGTTTTTGGAAACTGGTTCTTTCCAAGTTTCTATTCATGCTATTCTCAATATCCCACTACAGTGTCACAAATACAAATATATCATATCCCTCACCCAACCCTGTAATTTTTCTACAGATCACATTACTCTGGACCCTCCCACAGACAGGCGAAATGTTGCCATTTCTGCAGATCTTAGACAAGTGAGATATGAATACCACTGTAACCCACAAGTGCAACATGACTTCTCTTTCATTCTTGGTAACCACGAAAATCGCTGCCATCAGGAGGGCAATAATGGTGTAGTCGGTGTACCATCTATCACATCAGGGAAACATTATTGGGAGGTAGATGTCTCAAACAAACGTACCTGGATCTTGGGGGTGTGTTCTCAAAAATCCCCTAGCCTCAATCTGTTGTATGAGCTCAATGGGATGTTTGTTCGTAGAAAAGTTCACATATCTCCACTTTTTACACTTCGTACTTTAGTTACAACCCCAGCCCCTAAAGGTGATGGTTATTGGGTTATACAATTAGTAAATGGATGTGAATATAATGCTCTTACAAAATTTTCCTTCTCTGATGTCTTCAAAGTAACCCTCAATCCAACTGTTCCTCCCCATCGTGTTGGCGTTTTCCTAGACTATGATGCTTGCACTGTCTCATTTTATAACATCACAAACCATGGATTTCTTATCTATAAATTCTCTTCATGTTCCTTTTCTCAGGAAATGTATCCATATTTCTCTCCTATGACATGTGATGTCCCCATGACACTGTGTCCTCCAAGCTCTTAAAGCCCTTATACTCTCACCCAGTTCTTTGTAGTGCCTCTGGCCTTGGGTGCACCTAAGGTGCTGAGCTTTTCTGCACTGTTCTCACCAACTTTTTACTGCTTCCTTCCCCCTTTTTTCATATCAACATCTTTCATTCAACAACAGAGTGTAAAATTTGCCCTGTGTCAAGCATATTTTCCTCAATGTCCTGTTTGCACTAGTAAAGAATCTTAATTTACTTTTTTCTGTCATCCCAAATAAAATTACCAATGCCTCAGAAAAAGACCTGTATGGCCCACATGTAATTTTGTGAGAATTAAGCAACAAATGTTTTCAATAAATTCCATCATTTTAAGCACATAAGCAGTAATCAATATGCTGTCTCTTCATTTTTTGTTTGCCTCTAACTGTGACTGAAATAAATGATTTTAAGAATACATATTATTGCCCTGGCTAGTGTAGCTCAGTGGATTGAGCACGGGCCTGTAAAGCAAAGGGTTGCTGGTTTGATTCCCAGTCAGGGCATATGCCTGGGTTGCAGGCCAGGTCCCCAGTAGGGGACACATGAAAGGCAACCACACATTGATGTTACTCTCCCACTCTTTCTCCCTCCCTTCCCCTCACTCTAAAAGTAAAAAAAAGAATACATATTATTTTACTCTCAACCTTATTGCCCTTACTTTGTTTTAAGAAATAAAATAACTTGATGAAAGAATTACATTTTTTAAAAAAATTAGCTAATTGTAAAATAAATGTTTTTACCATTTTTAGCTACCTAGTCTCCACACCCTCACCCCATGTTTCTGGAGTAATTCTATTTCATCGAAATATATTAGCTTTGTTTACTCAGTTTTAGAGACTTAATTATTCATGGTGATACGATGAGTCAGAAGTACAATTGTGGGTTTTTCTAACAATTGTGTAGAGAAGTGTTTTGTTGCTCAGGTCAGCTTGACATTTGCAGTGAGTCAAAAATGCTCAAGAACAAAGAGAAAAGTCTGCTCTTCCAATGAGAGGGAATGTGGAATATGTTCTTTCAGGACTTGGTGGGATCCCAATGTACTGGTTTAAATATTAACCTTATCTAAAATATAACCCAGGCATGTGCCCTGACTGAAAATCAAACCAGTGACTTCTCAGTTCACAAGGCAGTGCTCAATCCACTGAGCCACACCAGCCAGGGCACTTTTTAAAAATAGATCATTATTTATTTATTTTTGGCATGTGTGCTAAGCTTGAAAATAAAATGTAGTCATACTCAGTAATATAAAAGAAGGCAAAAAAAGGAGCAAAAGACAACAAAGAATATATATGAGAAATATAAACCAAGTAAAAAAACTAAAATATAACATGTTTATAATCATATTAAATATTAACAAATAAGTGTCGGCAAGAGTGCAGAAAAAAAGGAACCAGTTGGCATTGTCGGTAGGAATGCAGAGTGGTGCAGCCACTATGAAAAGCAGTATGGAGATTCCTCAAATATTAAAAATAAAATTATCATATAACCCAGCAGTTTCACTTCTGGATATTTATCCAAAAAAATGTAAACACTCATTCAAAAACATACATGTTTTAAAGAATAAAACTGAGACTAACCAAAGCAAGGAGAGGGATAATGGGGGGAAATAACAGAAAGTCTACCAAGGAACATGTATAAAATACACATGGACAAAGTCAAAAGGGGTAGGTTCTAGTGTGGGAAGTAGGGACTGGTGGGGTGAAAATGGAGACAACTATACTTGAACAACAGTTGAAAATTTTTAAAAACATGCATATGCCCCAAGTTCCTTGCAGCATTATTTACATTAGCCAAGGTATGGAAAGAACCAGGTGTGCATTGACAGATGTATAAAGGAGATACATATATAAAGTGGAATATTACTCAGCCATAAAAAATAATGAAATCTTGCCATATGTGACAGCATGGATGGACATAGAGGGTGTTACAGTGAGTGAAATAAATCAGAGAAAGATAAATATGGCATTACTTCACATATACGGCCTATAAACAAAACAAAACAAGTGAACAGACAAACCAAAACAATAACAGACTGATAAGCACTAAGAAAAAACAGATGATAGCCAGAAAGGAGAGGGGTGAGTGTGGGTTAAATAGGTGAATGAGGATTAGAAAACATACTAAAATATTTCTGGACTTGACATAGGAAAGATGGCAGTACTGACATAGGGTTTGTAAAAATTATTCTAGTAAATCTAATTCTGTTGTACTGTAACGTGTAAGTTAGTTGTGGAATATCAGTTCTGTTTCACCGAACTTCCTTTCATTATGGTCAATGTCAACAAATAAAAGTGCCATCTTCTTGTATCTTTATTGAAAATATCAAACATATTTTTCTTAAATTATCTTAATTTATTGAAATATATCATTATTAAAGAAAGTAATTTTATGAGTCCATAGAAACATTGGGTTTTCTATTTATCAGCCTTTAAGTGAACATAAATGTGCTCAAGATTACATGGAAAACCAGACTTATAAAGAAGATCCTTCAGATTATTTTCATAATATCTCTGAGCTGATAGACCTTAACTTTTATATCAGACTGGAAGGTGAGTGACAATATACAACATATAATAGAGTTACTAATATTCATTGGGCCTGCACTCCAAATGAATCCCTATTTTTAAGTGATACTACATAAAAAATTCCATCTACTTAATGACATACTATGATCACAGACTCAGTGGCAATCAGTGCAGATCATAATAAAATACATCAGATGTGCTAAAAGAGTTCCTGTCCACCAAACCAGCATTGTAAGAGATGCTAAAGGGACTGTGTAAAAAAGAAGAAATATAGAGAAAGAACACAGGAACAAAGAGAAAAATGGCAATGAATAAGTACCTATCAATAATAAACTTAAATGTAAACAGATTAAATGCTCTAATCAAAACAGGGTAGTTAAATGAACAAGAAAGCATGACTCACATATATATGCTGTTTACAAGAGTCACACCTCAGAACAAAAGATATACACAAGCTGAAACTGAAGGCATGGGAAATGGTATTCCATGCAAATGGACATAAAAAAGAAGCTAGTGTAGCAATACTTATATCAGACAAAATAGATTTTAAAACGAAGGCCATAACAAGAGACAAAAAAAGATGACTGCATAATACTTAAGGGAATAATCTAACAAGAAGATATAATAAATGTAAACATATGTACACCCAACATAGGAGTACCTAAATATATAAAGAAAATCGTGGAGGACTTTAAGAAAGAGATTGACAGCAACACAGTCAGTCGCTGTAGGGAATTTTAACACCCCACTGTCAACAAGGGATAGATCTTCCAAACACAAAAATCAAGAAGGATATTGCAGCATTAAACAACACTCTAGATCAAATGGACTTAACTGATATTTATAGAGCATTTCACACCAAAGAAGCATTCCGACAAAAAGAGATAAAAGCCATCCAAATTAGAAAGGAGAAAGTAAAACAGTGATTTTTTTTGCAGATGACATCATAGTGTACATAGAAAACCCCATAGGCTTCACAAAAAAAATTACTGGACCTAATAAGAAATTTGGCAAAGTAGCCAGATAAAAAGTAGCCAGATGGTTTTTTTTGTTGTTTTATTTTAATTGTTGCTCAAGTAAAGATTTTTTGCTTTTAACCCCTATCCCAGCCCAACCCCCAGGTCTCCCCACCTCCCTCCTGTTTCCAATCCCCCTTGTTTTTGTCCATGTGTCCTTTATACTTGTTTCTTCAAACCCTTCTACTTTTCCCCTGAAATTCCCTCCCCTCTGCCCTCTGGTCACTGTCCCCCTGTTCTCTATTTTAGTGTCATTGGTTATATTTTTCTTGTTTGTTTGTTTTGTTGATTAGGTTCCTGTTAAAGGTGAGATCAGATGGTATTTGTCTTTCACCGCCTGGCTTATTTCACTTAGTAGAATGCTTTCCAGTTCTCGATGGCATTTTTGTATACCAACAATGAAATATCAGAAAGAGAAAGCAAGAAAAATTTTATTTACTATAGCAACAAAAATATAATAAAGTACTTAAGACAAAATCATAAACAACCTGTTTACAAGATTTTTAAAATGTTTACAAAATCATAAACAACCTGTACTTGAAAAACTGTAGAACACTGAAAAAAGAAATTGAGGAAGATACAAATAAATGGAAACATATGCCATAGTTATGGATTGAAAGAATTAACATCATTAAAATGTCCACACCATCCAAAACTATAAATTCAATGCAATTCCTATTAAAATACCAATGACATATTTCACAGATAAAGAACAAATATTTCAAAAATTTATATGAAGCCAAAAAGATCCAAAATAGCTTCAGCAATTTTGAAAAAGAAGAACAAAGTAGAAGGGATCACAGTACCTAATATCAAACTATATTACAAGGTGACTGTAATCAAAACAGCCTGGTACTGACATAACAGACACATAGATCAACAGAAAAGAATAAAGAACTCAGAAATAAACCTATGTCTCCATGGTCACTTAGTATTTAACAAAGGGGGCAGGAGCATAAAATGAAATTAAAATAGTCTCTTCAATAAATGGTATTGGGAGAATGGGACTGGTACATGCAAAAAAAAATGAAACTAGACCACCAATTTACATCATACACCAGAATAAATTCAAAATAAAGTCTTTATTCAGAATAAAATTGTAATGTAGAAGTCCTTGCAGGAAACATAGACCATAAAATTTCATAATTCCCACATAGCAATATTTTTGCCAATATATCTCCCCGGGCAAGAAAAACAAAGAAAAAAATAAACAAATGGGACTACATCAAATTAAAATGCTTCTACACAGCTAAAGAAACCATCATCAAAATAAAGAGAACTGACTGTAAGAGAAAACATATTTGCCAGTGATACATCGAAAAAGAGCTTAATCTCCAAAATATGTAAAGTACTCATACAACTCAATACCAAGAAGACAAACAATCCAATTAAAAAACTAGACAAAGGACTTGAATAGATATTTCTCCAATGAGGACATACAGATGGCCCATAAACATATGAAAAAATGCTCAACATCACTAGCCATCAGAGATAAAATTAAAATCTCAATGAGATATTACTTCACACCTGTCAGAGTGGCTATCATTAATAAATCAAAAAACAACAAGTGCTAGCAAGGATGTGGAGAAAGGGAGACCCTAGTGCACTGTTGATGAGAATACAGACTGGTACAGCCACTGCAGAAAACAATATGGGGACACCTTAAAAAATTAAAAATGGAACAGCCTTTTAACCCAGCAATTTCACTGCTGGGAATATACCCTAAGAATCCTGAAACACCAGTTCAGAACAACTTATGCACCCCTATGTTCATAGCAATACAATTTATAATAGCCAAGTGTTGGAAACAG